CCTGGGGAAATTTCTTCTTTCTACCATCGCCTTGACTCTGATGTGCGGACCCAAGCGTTGCCTCTATATCTAAGGCTTTCTTGCTAAAAGAGGCGAAGTTATGTTGGTCGACATAGGCCTCATCCACCAGCTTAGTCTTTGCCTCTGCAGGTAGACATCTCAGGTAATTTGTAAGGAACCTGCTGGTTATAGCGCACACCAGGTACCACAAGCAGCCGTTCTACGGTGTCTGTGAGTTTGCGAACATTCTTGTACCTTTTGGCACAAAGATTGTTGATCGCGTCGGTGGTCTTCTGAGCCCCTTAGGGTCATGCTACCTATTATACACAGTCCGTACGAAGTCTTCCCATGTCTGGGCCTGGGCCCAGGCATCGAAATTTTGACCGTAGCTCTGTTGTTGCACTAACCCATTCAACCAACGCGTTGCCGATCCCTTTAAAAAGGAAGCAACAACTTTGAATTCCTGCTCTGGCATGGTGAGCTTGTGCCTCACATAGGTAGGCACAGTCCTCACCTAGGTATCTAAGTCCTCGTCCTTCTTCCTATCGCTAGAGAAGGGCTTGGGACTAAGCAAGGGTATCTTGGGCATCCACTGCATACGTTGGACCTGCCCAGGCGATTGCTGCAGTGGCTGCATGGCCACTCAGACAGGTTGCTGCACACTAGCTTGCGGCTGTCCAGACAATGGCATTGCAGCTGCCACCGTCCTCGATGGTACGGGATAAGAAATCAGAACGTGACCACTGACTACTGGTTGACTACCTGAAAGAGGAATGCCATACATAGGAGAGAAAGAGGGCCCTATCGGCGTCAGCGTCACTGAGGGACCCGCAACCGAAGGGGGAGCTACAACATACTGAGGCTGCCTCATCACTGGACGAGGAGCCTGCAGTGCAGCCAAAATTCGTTTCTGGCCGTCCACTAGTTTGGCCAACACTTCTTGTTGGACAACCTGCGTTTCTGCCACACAAAGGAGTGAGCGACGCAGCGCTTGCATTGCAGGGTCAAGTGTCGACTCGTCTAGTGCCTCTAGATTTCTTAACTCCTGCCTCCTAGCTCCTAGTCTAGCTTTTCTAGTGCTAGCCCTTTGTCTCCTCTCTGCTGCATCTCTCAATTGCTGCTGTAGTTGATCATGCAGTTCTTCTGCTTGGAGGATCTCATAATCCTCAGGTGTGAGTGGCATCTGCTGGCTGACTTGTGAGCCAACAGATTAACTAACATAACTCTGATAGATACCCTGACTGCCACCCGACGAAGAGGCCTGGGACAAGGCCTGTGACACTGTAGAGGAGGTAGCCATCGCAACCTCAACCTGAACTCTAGCGTCCGCTAGTCTTGCTGCTGCAAGTGTCCGTTCAACGTTGGTTGCTGCTGTCCTAGCCCTCTCTAATATCGTCCTTTTCCTGGCTTCCTTTCGCAGTCGCCTTTCCTCTCCCTGGCCTAACTCCAAGAAGGTAATTGGTTGACTGAGTGCAGTTCGACGAGTCACTCTAAGATGTTCCACTACTCGTTCCTCCTCCTCACCCGCCTGCATCACTCATGAGCTACAGTGTGTGTGATCTAAACTAGAGTCCACACTGAATCCTACCTCAGCATGACACACAACCGGGTATGAACAATCAACTATTTCCGGTCAACCTAGAGAGAAGTAGTCAAGTGGTAACCAGCAATCAATATCGGGTCCTACAAGTAATTTCAATTCTATTTTTAGATTACTCTTACACAAAATGCAATGCAGCAAGGAAGGAAAACTAACCTATCTGCAGTTGTCTGCCAGTTGTTAACAAGTCTGTACAACTAAGTAATCAAAATAAAAATAAATACCTGTGGAGATGCATGTTGGATGGCAATTCATCTAATTAGTGCCACAGCAAACAGTTACCGGAATCCAACCCTCCCCCTGTATCCCTCTTGAGTAGTCACTTTCTGTCGATGTCCTAAGCACCTGGTTGAGCAGTGTGTCTGAAGGTGTGCAATCCGGCCCACCCCTGTGCACCAAGTCTACGCCGAACCTGCCAGCCCTTGCACCTTATTTATCCTTGCATGCAACGAGTCGTACACTTGGTTTGATCTGGCTGATTAAGAGGCAGTTTAAGGACAACCCCCAAGGTCCTCAGGAATTATTTAACGTCGCAGACAGGACGACGATCACAGCCAGAGTCAACACCGAGTCCCCGCCAGAAATATTTGAAGATGTTCTAGTAAGGGTCTGTTCAAAGGTCTGGCATGACCTCTATTGCGCAGCAAGAGAACCAAGGACTTGCGGCAAAGCATGCATGTACTCGTCCCAACGGGTTGGCATGGTGACCGTGACCCGGGTGCTTCGTCCAGGGCCCTTCAGAGGCTTCGCCCGTCTCCCACCAGCTTGCTGCCCAGGAAGAATGTCGACTCTCAAGGTTGAGCGCTCGCAACACCTCACATTGAGAGGACTCTCAAGACAAAACTCACTTCCTCACAGTAAGAAGCAATGAAGAGGGTAGATAAGGAAGAGAGCAACGTACCTCATAATGCTGCCCCCAACCACAGATTTCTCTCCGGCAACTTGATGTGCATTTATCATGATCGGTCTTTGCCTCGGCACAACCAACAGCAGAATGCAATTCGACCTCGACTTAAATGCCACATCAGCGAGCTCTCATCATCCAGCGTTCACCCCTAATGTCACCACATAGCTTCCTGGCTCGCCCACACGACCCTGGGCCGCCTTTTGTTCAACACCCAAACCTTATCACTACCCCACACCTCATGGGAAGCACCGAACAGCTATGTCGAAGAACCAATGAAGCGCAGTTCCAACCAGCTCCAATACCAAATTGCAAGGAAAATGAGCAATAGCGAGATGAAATTGTCCGGAATGCACAATCACATTGAAGGCCGGATAGTATCACAGTGTCCAGAAAGCAGAAATGCACCAATATAACACCAATGAAGAATCGTAACACTGAAAACCAATGTCAATGAGAGTTTGCTCTCGCCACCACCAATATGAGTGTCCAGGCCGGTTTCCCTCCGAAAGGGAGGAGGTACCGGCCAATTTCCAAGTATACATTTATCAGAAAGTACAATGCCGTCCAATTGCAAAAAGAAATGAATGAACTTGAGAGGAGAGAGACAGAAAGAAGAAGAAGAAGAAGTATGAAAGAAGAAGAAGATGATGTACTCCAGCATAGACCAATGACAGGGCTCTTCTTCTTCGCCAACCAATCTCCTCCTCCTTATCTTCTCCCCTCGTATTCAAACAAGAAATACCAATAATAATGTTGAATGGCTGAACCAGAATCAATGTCCGAATCCCACTTCTACTGCAGGCACAACATGAGGTCCACCATAGCCATGGCCACCCTTCCTCTTCCTCTACATGCAGGCCGAGGCTATGGCGGAGCACTGAGGGCTCTACCCTCCTGTCCAAAGGACAACCCAAAGCAGCTATGTCGCCGCCCTTCTGTCCCAAGGTCAACACCAGGCAGCTATGCCGCTGCCCGGTCAATCGCCATGCCTGACTCTGTCCCGGGCTTCCTTGATGCGGTACTACCCCAACTGGGGCCTTCTAGATGCAGCGCCTAACAAGGTGATGAAGATGGTGTCCGCCATAGCCAGGTAGGTACCTCGCCACTCTCCTCCTTGGTCCCCTTCTCCCTCCCCTCCTACCGGTAGAGCTCCACCATAGCGAAGGTGGGAAGCTCCCTGCTTCTTCCTCCCAGCAGTGCTGTAGTGGCCATCGCTACTCCAACCAGCGCTCCAACAGAGTGTCGCCAAACTTGCACACTGAAGAATGAGGCTGGGCTCTTCCCTCGGCCTCTTGATATAGCGGCCTACTTGCCTCCTGGGCGGTGACTTCCAGGCTGCTCGGCCTCCCAAGCAACCTGTACCTCCTCCCTTTCGGAGGGAAACATCATTGCGAACTCTGATATTGCCCGTACAGGCTCTAGACTCAGACTGGATGGACTGGTACCGACCTAGACCTAGCCTACCGCTACAGGGCCTCTAAAAATGCCAACTCTATCTTCTTCTGCTCGTCCTCGAGTACCCGACACGTCTACTGCTACTGGTGCAGTACCGGCCTACCTGCTACTTGAGTGTTTTTCCGCTGCTCTAAGCACCTTGGGCCCCTGGCTCCGCTACTTAAGTGTTTTCCCTGCTGCAACCCTCAATGCCATGGCCACAGGTAAGTACCGGCCCTACGGGCCTGTAAAACAAGCAAGTACCCTTGCAGGTCACACACACACTCATACCGACAAGCACTCAGACAGGCACGAGGGTCACAAGCACACACACACACACAAACTTAGAAAACTCAGCAGAATGCGGGAATCTCAGCAAGGCATCCATTCCATCGGCAGAACTCCAGAAATCAGCAGTGTTCTTAGTCTGTGTTATGGCCGGTCATTACACTACCCCCCCCTCAAGAGCGAGGTCCCTTCGAGCGAGTAACTTAATCAGCGTCCCTGCGTAATGCATCATAGGCGTAAATGGCAAAGAGAGATCGTGTATGTTCCGTAGGAGTAAGGGTAGCAGTGAATCTAGGTTGTTGTTCGGAGCTAATTAGTCGTTCATATGCGTTGACGACTCTCGGGCGTCGTTCATATGCATTGACGACTCCTGGGGCACTCTGCAGCAAATCTTTCTTAGCAATCCAGTAAAAGTCATTCAATGGGTGGTATACAAAATGAACTTTATATTGTCTGTTTCTCCCTTTTCCACTGTGCTTGACAATTCTATCAACCTCGTGACCAGTCTTAATTGCGCGAGGAATCATCGATTCTCAATACGGAAAAGTTTTCGGTGATTCATACGGTAACAACTTCGACGTGTGAAAGACTGGGTACGTGTGCGGGTGAGGACGCGCGCCGATCGTGTAAGAAGGACCAAATGAATCACTCCCTACTTGGTTCAACACCTTCCACGGACCATAGTACTGAGGAAAAAGCTTTCGTGATGCCCCTTCTTCTTCAGAAAACTCAGACATTTTGACCCAGACATAACTTCTCACTGTGAAAGGTACAAGTTGGGGCTTTTTGTTAGCATGCTTAATCATGGCCTTGCGTCGCCTTTCCATAGCTGCGACAAGAACTTTGAGCAAGCGATCAAACTTAGCGTTGTAGCCTGGCTGACGAGGTGTTAGGCCAGGTGGCGGATCAGGAAACAAATAGGATTGGGGATTGCGAAGTTGCCATCCGAGGTGCAGCTGATTAGGTGTCATCCCTGTGGAGGAGTGTATGGAGTTGTTGTATAGTCCTTGCACAATCGGCAATTCCTCATCCCAAGAGTTCTGATCAGGCACAATTAGAGCTCAAAGAAGTTGGATCACCGTCTGGTTGACCTCCTCGACCAGTCCATTGGCTTCGGGATGTCGGTCGGACGTCATCTTGAGTTTGATGTCGTAGTTCTGGTAGGTGAAGTCCTTCCAATCTGCACTTATGAACCTAGTGTCCCGGTCACTCATAAGAGTTTTCGGGGGCCCACACTGCATAATGTACCTTTTGTGAAACTCCTTGATCACAAGGTCAGTTGGGGCGTGAGGTGGTAATGGAATCAAATTCAGAAACTTTGAAAAGCAGTCAATGATCACCATTACTTGTGAGTATCCGTTCCTGCTCTTCTTTCCCATGTCCGTGAAGTCGATGGAATGAGACTCACCCGGGCCATCAGGAATAGGAAGAGGATGCAGCAGCCCATATGACTTTTGTCGAGACGGTTTGATGCGTTGACAAACTTCACACTCAGCCACAAACTTTCGTGCCATTTCTTTCATCCCAGGCCATACAAACTTTTGCAATAGACTTTCGTATGTCTTTTCAAAACCGAAGTGTCCACTCCAGCCATGAGCCAAGTCCAAGAAGTGAGTACGGATAGGCTCATGGTTGGGCACACACAGTCGGTCGTACTTCCCGTAACGTCGGAAGAGTAATCCTTTGCACTCATGGAAATCAGGCTGGTTGCTAGGGTCAAACTGGATTTGCTCAAGGATGGGACTGAGTTCCGGGTCCTTGGCAATATACTCTACGAGTTCCTCCTTCAAATTCTTACGGAGATCGTAGGAACCCATAAGGCAAGTCATGTACTCAGGATGGCGAGACAAAGCATCCGCAACGCGATTGTAACAACCTTTCTTGTGCTTAAGTTCAAAATCATACAAAGCAATCTCATGCAACCAACGGGTCAATGTAGTTGATGGATTATTCTGTGCCTGGACCCATTTCAAAGTCTCATGGTCCGAGAACACTTTGAAAGGACGACCCAAGAGGTAGTGTTTCCAATGATCTAGTGCCTCTCTCAAGGCATAGAGTTCTCGCATGTAAGTGGAGGCAACTACCTTGTGACTGGGCATACGTTTGTTGTAGAATTCGAGCGGACGTAAGCCGTCGTCATCATCTTGCTGCAGCATTGCACCAATCCCATACAAGCTTGCATCCGTAGTTACTACGAATGTAAGTTTGAGATCTGCAATGTGGAGCACCGGATGACTCACCAAAGCCTTTGTCAATGCTTGGAAGGTTGTTGTGCATTCCCCGTCTCATGTGTAGGACACATTCTTGCTGGTCAATCTGGACAGCGGTCGGGCAATGATAGAGAATTTGGGTACAAACTTACGGTAGTATGAAGCAAGACCAAGAAAAGAACGCAACTCACAGACATTTGCCGGTTGAGGCCATTTGCGGATGACCTCAACTTTGGTTGCCTCGGGCTCTAGGCCTGCAACAGACAACCGATGTCCAAGGTAGATGACGTTGTCCCTCCCAAACTCAGATTTCTCCAAGTTGAGATGAAGTTGCGCATCCTTGAGGTCTTTTGAGGATCTGCAACACTTCCTCAAGGTATCTCATGTGCTCCTCCATCGACTTGCTGCGGAATACCTTGTCCATGAGACTTTGAAAGGTGGCTGGTGCATTCGTGAGGCTGAAGGGCATGACGGTAAACTCGTACAACCCATCTCGAGTTTTGAATGCAGTTTTATGCTTGTCTGGAGGGTCAACTTCAATCTGATGGTAGCCAGACTTGAGATCGATCTTGCTGAAGACCTTGCATCCACCTGCAACATCAAGCATATCATCAATGCGCGGCAAAGGGTATGCATTCTTCCTTGCCGCGGTAATCAATACACATCCGTAGTTTGCCTCCTTTCTTAGGGACAAACAGAACCGGTGCACCGAATTCGGATTCACTTGGTTTGATCCATCCCTTCTCAATCATGTCATCGATCTGTCTTCGCAGTCTTCCAATTCGCCTGAGCCCATTCGATAGGCACAACCTTTTGGAGGAGTGCTACCTTCTATCAACTCGATCTTGTGTCGGACCGGACGCATGGGGACCCCATGCGGTTTGACCAAGACTTCAAGAAATCGGTTGAGAAGGTTGCGGATTTCTGATGGGACTTCCGGAGGTGGATCATCACTTTCAGGTGCAGGCATACCGGATTGCATAGGTGCAGCCAAAACAACAAAATTTGAAGAAGAGTCGTTTGGACTAGAAGTAGATTTAGTAGAGGTAAAAGTGGTTGTGTTAGAACTTAGAAGTAGAAACGACATGCAAAGTAGAATAATTATGTACAGCAAAAATAGAAGGCACATGAGCAGGCCTAACAAAGGCTATATACATTTGCTCGTCAACTTTGCGCCTGCGCTTTTTTTTGCAAAATTTCGTTGCATTGAGAAAAGTTATTTGAGACTTGTGCGGCTCATCCAAGAGGACGAGATGCTCGATTCGCATGGGATCTTTGACCATGAATTGTGAGTCCTCCCACGTGGTTCTTTCACATTGGGCCTGTAAACAACCCAAGCCAATAGCCGTGTCGAAGGGACACTGATCAAGGACATAGAAGTTCAACTCGTGCGTGATTGTGCGGTCTGCGTCAAAGGTAGTGCGCACACCTTTGACTACATGTGTAGATGTGACAACCTCTTGGTTGCCCACTTGGGTCCGACAAGGCTTCTGCAAGGTCACGTGCTTCGTTCCAAAGTGTACCTTATGAATGTCGTGCGTTGAGAAATAATTGGCGGTTGCGCCACAATCAGCCAGTGCACGGATGTAATGGCCGTTAATGCGGAGTTTGAAGAAGATAAACTTTGTTCTCCCTTGCACACGTTCTTGCTTCATGTGAGCCCAGCGCGTCAAAAGAGCATGAAAGTCAATTTCTTTCGACTCCGCCCAAGGCTCCTTATATAGGATGTGCAGTTTCTCAACCTTGGAACCAGCATCAAATGGGGTTTCAAGAGAGGTTTGTTGAGTAGGATCAGAATCCAGTGAAGGATCTGCACTTACATGTTCAACCTCTCCGTCTATAGAGTGTGCTGATGATGTCTCTACCCCCGTTGTTGGTTTCCTTGCCGCAATCTGAAGCAATGTTGGACCGAGTGTCATGGTTTGGTGCAATGCAAGCAAACCCCTTTCTTCACCCTGTGTTTCCACTCACTTTCACTGATCCGGGGATCTACCCATGGTTTTGTGGCAGGATCTTTCGATTTCGGTGGAATCTTCGTTCCCTTGGGAAGGAGAATGTTGTTAGTATTGTTCTTCACTGTGGTCCTCGGTCCCTTACTTTTGAAGGCAGTCTTTTTAAAGGCATTCATAGCTTCATCATCATTCACATAATCAAACTCATGGGCTGACGAAGAGCAAGATGCCTCACAGTCCTGCTCTTGATCGTCATCAAGAGAAGGGTCCTCGAAGGTCTCCTCGTCAACCTCAAGTAAATCGTGCGCTGCAAACGGTTGCTGCCTGGAAACCGTTTGCGGCCAGTGGTCTTTTTGCCACCCGATCCACCCAGGAGGTCTTGTGCCTCCAGCTTGACTAAATCCCGCATGAGGGTAAGCCAATCTGTATATGTTATGAGTCCGAGCCCCAGGCGATGTGTTACAGTAGAGGGGACCGTGCCTTCAATCACATCCAAGCAAGACTGTGCAGTCATCTCGAGATCCGGAGTAGCAAAGAGTTTACTAACATACTGCTGCAGACTGTGCATGGTGCCGGTCCACTTGTTGTGCTTGAGCTTATGAAGCTTAAGTTCAACTTTGGCTGCAGCATGCGGATCAGCATATTGTTTGATCAAGAGTTCTTCGAGTGCGGCTATAGGCATAACCTTCAGCCATTTGTTCAGGTCTATTCTTTTATAGCCCAACTGTACAGCTTAGACTTCTAAGAAGCCCCTTACGGCGGGTTCCACATTGGTCCCTCGGACCGACAACTAAGTCACTGGGGGTGTCCCCAACACATCAAAGTAGGATCGCATGAAGCTGATCCAAGATTCAATATTTTCCGTCATACTTAGACGGAATTTGTGCCGCTTTCCTGTCCCCGTAAGGAAAGCTGCAACTAGGACTAGCGATCGCTGGGTTTGAATTTAGGGCTGCAACAGTTCCAGAATGCCCTGCACTGCCACTTGCCACTGCAGCAGTAGTAGTAGCAGCAACGGGGTCTGGACCTGCTGCAGATCCGGATAGGTTGTTGGCCACACTCAAAGAAGAAGAAAAAGAAGAAGAAGAAGATGATATAGTTGGAGGGGCAAGAACGGACTGACACGCAGCACTAGAGGCACGGTAAGCAGGCGAAAGGACACCTTGGGCCGACTGCATGTTAGCAAAGTGTTGCAGTTGGTCACGGTGTTGCTGCGCCATCAGGGCCATATCCTCGTGGAACTTCGTGAGTTCATCAAACACCTTGGCGAGTTGGCCTGTATGGTCTTCAACAGCCCGGACCTCTACTAAAGCCTCGAGGAGTGCGACAGTCTTCTCTTCCACCTCATCATCAGTTAAGGCGGGCACGGTATTGAAGACGACTTCATGAGCTTTTACTTTATCTCCCTTCTCCTTCTCTGTCTCTTCCTCTTCCCTCTTCAATGCTTTTTCATAGAAGAACAAGTACTGAACATTTTTTGCCTCAGGGGCAGCGTCCATTTGCAGCTTCCATTCTGCTGCAGATGCCATGATGGAGGATTAGGGAGTCAGTAAGTCTCTCAAGAGAGGTCCGTATTTCCTCACACTTCTGGGACGAACACTCCTCTTCCCTCTCCTCACTCCCTCAAGAGCAACACTCTGAAGCTTCTCTCTTCTCTCTCTCTCTCTCGTTTGCGATCGTGTAGACGCAGACATTTAACGAACCTTGTGAAAGAAACAGTTTGAAAGCAATCATAAGAGAAGGTAGAACTCCTAGCCGGAGCAGCAATTCATTTGGATTGGAGAGCAGTCAAACAAAAAAATAAAGATCAGAGAGATCTGATTCCGCCACACAGTCTGGTCCGACTACGTATGAGGTCCTCTCAAGCCTAGTCGGACTCGGCTCTGTGAAGACACAACAAATCAAGTTCAAGGTGTACTACGTAATGCAAGAGAGAATTGAGTGGTGTCGAAGGTGCGAGTCAGGCGGCGGATCGTGCGGTAAAGTCAGTTAAAACGTCTCAGTTAAGATCCCCTCAGCAGCGAGTGTCCTGGTCCGAAAGCATGAACTCCGAGTCCCAATCAAATAGAGCAAGGTAACCGACGTCAACAGATTTGCGCCTGAGGGGCCCTTCCTGTTTGGGCCTGGTCCCACTGGGTCTCAAATGGTCCCAGTGGAGTCAGAACCGGGTCCCAACCAACAAGAGTTCCACAAAGACTTACTCTTTGCTCCCACCGAATTGAAAAACGAAATTTAGCCCCAGAAAGAACCTACAGACTACAACCGTTCAGAATGAAATAAACAAAGCATTGTAGAAAGATATAGCATGGCACGCAAGATACTCCATTCATTCACTCATCAGGTGAGTAAGCAGTTCACACACCTCACACAAGATCAAGACTATGGAGGATGGAAGAAGAACCCAGAATACCCCAGTAGGCAGTCAATTCCATGCTCACACACATGGGCACCCTGGCGTCACGACACTTACCTGAGTGGTCGGGCTCTTGAGATGAAAGAAACTCACCCCCCTCTCACATAGTCCTCCTAACCCAATTAGCATCCTGTACACTAGTGTCGTATCATCTAGGAGGGTCAACATATACCCCAAAGTACAACCCCAGATCCGCCGTCGATGTTGAAGATCAAAGTAGCAACTTGCAGCCCGTAGGTGCGGATATGGCTGCCACCCTCAAGCTCGCCTAACTTGAGGGGAGCCCTAAAGTCACTCCTTGTCTTCCTTGAAGTCCAGATTCAAGTTGTAGGTGCCCTTCACTGTCGCCGCTCTCAAATTGCATCACGAAGTCCCACCTTCTGTCTCGCCACCACAAACATGCACTCAAGTTACCTGGCCGGGTCTAATGTCGACCCTACACGGCCCTGCCAGGTGGGAGCAGCTTCCCTTTACCACTCTGCCCCACTTAACCCTAACTTCCGCCCTAACCCTAAGTGGTTAGCCCTTACCACTAGGGTTAGGGTTATGGGGACAAAGTCAACTCTCGCCAGCAAGTAGAATCCGCTCCGATACCAATGTTACGATCCTGGCCAATTTTGAAGTATACATTCATCTGAAAGTACAATATCAAAAAGAAATGAATGAACTTGAGAGGAGAGAGAGGGAAAGAAGAAGAAGAATGGGTAGGCGACTACAATTCCAACCTACTCCACGAAACCATGTGCCAGGCATGGATCCAAATATTCGGGCATATATCTTACATCGTCCAGGTCATTTCAGTGCTCTTACGTTTGCCGGTAATTCATGGATCCTATGGGACAATGGCGGTAGGGTGCACACAGCGGGAAATATTAACTCTTTGTATCACGAAGTGGTGGAGAATCGCTCCGTCTGGCTCATCCATCAGGAACAGTATGTCTATGAGCACTTGCAACCACTGCACCCCCCGGAGAACAATCCGACCGATTCTACTACAAACAGTGAAGGGACCTTTCCAGGGGGTGGTTGCTGTGCCCTCCCATTGTGTCGTCACACACTTACAGTTCGGTTGGCATGCACACGACATAGCCTCTGCACCGAACACTATGAAGGGATGGTCGCTTCCAGCCTCTCCCACGAAAACTGTGATCCCTTGTCTTGTGCTCATCCCCCCACCCCCCCCTCATTACTGCCCAGCATGCTGTTGTGGCCTTTATCTGCAATTCCCAAATAACTGTGCACGTCAGCCTTTCATGCTAATGACAAGTCAGCAACATGCCATGTGTCATCAATGTTTCCCGGAAGCTGTCATAGAAAGTATGTATCTTTACAGCATGGACTATCCCCGGTGCCTTCATCCTCCACATCCTCTCCTAGCTTGTCCCACATGCGGTGTTGGTCACACACCTACGACAACCGCAGACGGATCTCCCTCTTCCTTGCCAGATGAATGACAGACACAGAAGCCTGAGGAGGAAAATAGACTTCTATATGAAGCACCTGCGGAGCGATGTGCTGGTAGTTCATCACCAGCAGGGCGAGCTGTTGGGGACCAAATCCTGCAGCAGCTGAATGCCCTTGCTTCGGACCGATCCTCCCTGTTGTCGTCTGCCCATAGACAAGGAAGGAATACTGTGGAAACCCAAGAAAGATGCTTCATGCCGCTTTGTGATGACCTGCCGGAGATTCAACTAGCATGTGGTTCACATGCCTTGTGCCGTGAGGATTACGAAGGGATAGTCCATGCGAGTTTTTGTTTCCAAACGTACGACGGCAGTCAGTAGTGTACTCATGTACGGGCCCTGACATGTGATGTCCAATTTGTAGACAGGGGCTGGAACGGCAATGCCTCTACAATTGCAGTCGACGTGCCTCTGTGTTCCTAGCATGTAGGAGCCACGTAGCCTGTGACATCTGTCTGCACTGCGCCATTCGATGCAGCAATTGTGACTGTGAAAATTGGATGCGGTCCACACTGGAACCGGTCCTGTCCGGTCTGTAGGGGTGGCCACTTACCATAGGCAATAATTGCTCCTCAACCAAAAAATATTTTTTTGCAACCCTGTGCCATTCCAGAGTAGTTTGTTCCAGCAGTGAGTATTTAGAATTCTGCGAAGTTCGTCATACACCTCTCCCCTGCCCGTTGCATGTCGTACTCTATCCTGCCCTTCACATGTTTCTTTCCTGCCCTTTACCCTCAACCTCCCCATACCCCACACTCCTATAGAACTCTGCCTTCTATCCCTTTCCCTCCACCTCCCCTCCACCCTCCCCCTTTGTGCTACTAGCAAATACATACGAATGAGCATCGTTCAGAGAACAGACGATATGAAGATCGGAAGTGACATGAATGGAAGTATGACGATGAAGGACAGACACAGAGACTAAGTATAAGCTGAAGCTCTGAAGTGAAATGAACAGTAGTATGAAGATCTGAAGAGAAATGCACAAGAGCATACCTTCCCTTTACACGGCCTCCTGTAATAACGTGCAAGTGGGCCGCTAAGGCACACGGGGATGTGAGCAGCTGCCGCTCAACCACCATCAACGTGGGCAGCCTTGTACGTGTGGGGCATAGTAAAAGAGGAGCTGTTGCCCCGAAGAAACCCCAGCTAAACACAGTTCTAAACACTTCTATTATGATTCACGTTGCTTGCTAAAGAGGTGAAATTCTTTAATTCTTGAGCTGGCTCAACCCGTTCGTACTCGTCTGGATGAAATAGGGGCTGTCGTGGTGCAATTTTAAACACACACACACACACACACACCCACACACACCCACACACACACCCACCCACCCACACACACACACACACACACACACACACACACACACACACACACACACACACACAATCAGTTTTATGTCTGTTTGTTTCCCCTCTTGCTGTCTGTTCTTCCTCTAATTTTGTCTTTTTGCTGTTACCCAACTGAGCACCCTTAAGTAGTGCCAAACAGTCGGTGGTTCCTCGTTTGGAGTGCCTACCGCACTCTTATGGGGCCCGCTCAGTTCGGGATGTCTGTGTTGCCTGTAGGTGATGACGGATGCTCGTCGGGGTGACTCCCTGGCTCAGTGGGTGGTGGGAACCAACAGTCTGCAGGGTTCAATCGTGATGTGAGTAGGTCATGCACTGCTTTGCTCCGTGTTGGATGTGTGGACTGCCTCGTCTGCGCACCATTGCCGCCTTGCTGCCTGTCCCGCTTGCTTTGCATGTGGTTCTCTGCAAGTTGCTGTGTTCGCTGTGTGGTGTGGCTGTGTTGTCGGTGTTGCCTTGCGCTTCGCTGCTCCGCTGCCTTGCTGCCCATCCATTGGCCGTGTCTTCCGTGTTTCCGCGCTGCGTGCCATGTCTTTCCTTGCAGTCGTTTTTGGCGTTGTGCAGCCGTGTTGCCTCTACTGTGCTGCCTGGTGCTCCACAGGGTYRCCKCCCGCTGCTATGTTCCGCTTGGGGACAGTCTGCCTTCAACAAGGGTCAAAGGGTTCATGACCCAAACCATCTAATACAGAGATTCCTGCAGATTGTCGAGGGTTCAGCCTCCTGATGAGTCGGTGCAACTCCGACGAAACAATCTTTCACCATCAGTTTTATTTTTATTTTTATTATTATTATTATTTTATTTTTTTTCAGTCTTTGCCCTGTTTATACTTGTATTTTTTTCGGGTTTTGTTTTTGCATTGTCGTCGTTTGTCATGCTGTTGTTTCCCTCGCTGCCTTACGCTGTTTTGCCTGCCCATTCGTCTACGCCATGCCTTTCACCCAGTGTGCTTTGTTGTTTTGTGTTGTTTGTCTTCCCACCCGCTTCCCYCATGCCCTCCAGCCTATATGCTTTAATACCTTGTGCTGCTTGCCTGGCGCCATGCTATATGTCTGCCCACCCGCCTCCCTCATGCCTTCCAACCCATGTCCTTTGCTTCACTGTTGGTTGTGTCTTGTTGTTTTGTCAAGCTACCGTCTGCCTAAACGCCATGCCTGGGGAAATAGAGGATCTAGCCTGTGAATGTATGAGGGCATTAGGGATAGTGGTGGAGTGTATCATGTGTCGTGACGGTAGGTGGAGTGCATGTTTATCATGTGCTGAGGCTACCATAATATGTGCTTGCACACATCATTACACACACACACACACACACACACACACACACACACACACAATCAGTTGACCAGACCTGGGGAATGGCTACGTCAAGGAGAGGGCTTTTTGACAGACCTCACTGAGCAGGATAAATACGAAGGGTCTGACAAAAAAAAAAAAAACCTTCCGAAACTCCAGTAGAGGACAGACCCTGGAAAAATAGCGATGGGCCCTTCGGGAATGAGGAAGCTGAGCTGAACGAAAAAGTGAGAAGAGGAGTCTACTTTCGAAAAATGGGAGATCAATGAAACCAAATCAGGAAGGATCTAGAAGGGACTGTGGAGAATGGCGAACCGGTGTGAGCACGATAATGAAATAAAAAAAAGGGAAAATAAATAGATAAAGGAATAGTGAGTAGGCCCTCGTCGAGCATTTCTGCCATCAGGAGAGAAGCGGAGATATGCTTGCGCAGCGCGACTCTGTTTTTCACCTGAAGGTAGAGGTGCATCGTTCGTAGTTACCGAGAGCAGAGCTTCAATGGAAGGTCATAGGAACGCCAATACGACACAACCTGACCTTTCGCGAAAAGTGAGAATTTCGAGGGTACCAAGGATTGTTGTCATGGATGGGCCGATGTCTCTGGAAGAAATGCTATCGATTCAGGATATGGTGACTGCCAAGGAAGCAGATGGGGCGCCGGCACAGGATATGGAGCCTTTTGGGCACCGGATCGGCCTGGCCATGGACTGGAGGGCGCTGCTCTGCGAAGCATGAACCTCCGCCACAAACAGTGCTTTTGAAAACAATATCTTCAAGATTGGGAGGAGAGCGGTTATCTGTGCGCTCTGGAGGAAACGCTGCACACACACCATTGAGGGAGTTCGCGTAGATGGAGAGGAAGTAACATAAATAATAAAACAGTATACACATCAAGAGCTCCTCTCACGATGGCAGAAGGTCAAGAACGAACTGGAGTTATATCACTTAAAGAAAGATATTACACAAGCAATCAATCAATTCTCAAGGGACTGGCTGGGTAAGGAAAAGGGGGGGCGGATTGCTTATATCCGATGGGAGGGTGGCCCAAGGAGTACCGGTCTCAATCAATCCGAGTTGCGGTCGTTCCTAGGCCTAGTTAATTACTATAGGAAGTTTGTGAGGAACTTTTCGACTATCGCCGCTCCCCTTCGCCGGTTGCTAAAGAAAGAAGCAATCTGGCAGTGGGACAAAGATTGTGCGTCCTCGCTCAAGAAGTTAAAGCGCGCGTTGATAGAGTACCCTGTCCTCAAAGTAGCAGATCCGTCTTTTCCATTTGTCGTCACCACGGACGCGAGTCGGTATGGTACAGGCGTCGTGTTACAGCAAGATGACGACAATGGCTATAGACCCGTAGAGTTCATGTCAGTGAGGATGCCCTCAA